GTGCCGGTAGACAACAGAGTTATTTCTCACACTTGCAAATCCTAAGGTGTCCAAGATGAAAATGCTGACATTTGCATTGCCTGATTAGAATTTGCTTCCTAATTCAGAGATGCCCATCTTCTTGTTGATTTCTAACTTGGTAAAAGGGACAATGAAGTTCTGAAGCCATCCCTGCTGTTCATGAGAGCGCAGCCTTCACGGCCCGACCACACACAAAAAGCTCATCTCCAAATGCCAGCACGTTAGGAATCACACCTTAGGAGTTAGGGCATCGAGGAGGAAAATGACATCATTTTGGATTTCATTGAAGTACAAAGTATTACATTCAAGTGTGAATAACCACATTTTCTCCTGCATCTCTGGAGCTTTTTTTTTCTGAATATCCACTACTTTATGTAAATTATACCTAAATGGCCACTCCAATCAAGTTGTTGTGGTAATTTTATTGTAGAGAAGGCTTTTTTCTTATCAAAAATACTTCATCTTACAGCAATTCAAAGGCAAACAAAACCAAGTTTGATGTTCAGTTTCATTTCTTGAAAACTACTTTGACAGAGACATGGACAGCTGTGTGGTCACTGACATTTTTACTAGAGTTAAAAACACGTGTGATGCATACTAAATTTCTTCGAGAGGAAAGAGGCCCAAAGAAAATTCCCATTTTCCTTTAATCAGAAAATTAAATATGAAACTCAGTTATGAAGTGTGTAGTATTCAATGAGGAGTTTTTTTTTTTCTTAAACCTAATCTAAGTTCCTAACACATTGCCATAGTTCAATCTCATTCTTTCTGATAAAGTTGGAATTTTCCTTGGACCCTTTAAGTAATCTGAATAGATCTTATAGAAACTAGTCATTACTGCTTAATCTTCAGCTCTGATTTGAAACATTTGAAAATAGGATTGTCTGCTCCCAAAGATTTGCGTTTGGTTTGATCTGAATTTCAGATATATCCCACATCTTTTTAAATTTCAGCCATCAGTTTCATCCTGCTGCCTTAAATCATCTGCAGAAGCTCTGTGTAATGTTTTTGTGTCTCAACATTTGATGTTAGATCTCATGCATGAAAAGAAAACTCATTAAAATTATATTTGTCTTTGGCTTTTCAAAATCAGATGGGTTATGTTATGCTACTTATATTGAAAGTAAGGTCTAGATGTATAGTGAGCTATGGGTAAGATCAAATATAATGACTAAAATCACAGTTTTGCAAGTATCACCATAAATTAGTAATAAAATGAAATGCATTTGGAGAAATTATTTAATAAATATCAATTACCCAATAGTAGATGGTTTTAGGAGTCTGTTACTAACAACCTATAGTCACTGCACTCTGTTTAGATACTATCATTTGGTTAGTGATGTATTTGTATGTAAGCTTATTACAGAAATATCATTGGCTGTTCTAGGAGTACAAATAATTCAAATAATAATGAACACATATAGTGACTTGAAGTTAGTACCCTCTGATTCCTCATTCATTACACCTACAAAAAAATAAAATAAACCTTTAATGAGCATTTGGTGCTGTGGGCGAAGCTTCTGCTTGGGATGCCCTCATTACAGACAGTGCCAGGGCTTAAGATCTGGCCCCTCTGCTTGCCATCCAAATTCCTAGTAATGTACAGTCTGAAAAGTAGCAAAGAGTGGTTCAAGTGCTCAGGGTTCTGCCACCATTGGAACACCTGCATGAAGTTCAGGGTTCCTGGTATAGCCTGACCCGGTCCCAACTGCTGCGTGTATCTGAGGAGAGATTCAGTGATGGAGAGTAGCTTCTCTCTCATTCTGCTTTTCAAGTAAGTGAAAAATAACCTTTAAAAATAAAATAAAATAAATAAATAACAAGCAGTGATTTTTAAAATAAGCATCATGAAGTCTTTTGGTTAAACCACTACGTTCTTTGAAATTAGTGGGCGTCTGACATTCAGAGGTGATGAGAGAACGTTTCTGTTTATGTGATATAGGTGTGGTTTTTTTGCATAAATTACGGTGTGTTTTTATGATTGTTTCTACTGACCACTTGGTGGTATTGGTTATTGTTGAGTCACTCCTTTATCGTTCATTACGAATGCTGCATTTCAGTTACTGCTTTAGTTGGGTCTCATTAAGTTCTTCAGAAGTTACTGTTGAATTAAATCTTGGTTTTACCAATCATATTGTCTTTTTTGTTAGTATCAAAGGTATGGGGCACACTGTCCAAGGTACGGGGACAAATTTTGTGTATTCATAAATATGTATGTCTACCTGTGTTTTATATTCTCTTTTTAAAACACAATTCTCCCCAAAATATGCCAAGCTTTTATTTTTCTCCACCTGTCTTATTTTAGCTTTCTTCCATACCTTCCCATACCAGTAGTAACTATGGTTAGTTATCTTGTGACTTTGGGACATTTTTATTATTCAAGGAAGTGATTGATTATACAGACACTCAAATCAGTGGCAATCCATCAAGGGACACAAAGTTAGCATTGAAATATGTGAAATTAAAGGGGTGCGTACCTTTATGTGATGTATTCTCTGAGCATTACTGTTTGTTTTATTTTCCATTGAAAATTTTTAGGCTGTGCGACTGCCACAGAAGCTCGCAAAACTAAAATGTTTAAGAAAGGTCTCCTGTATCACACTCTAGAGGTATTTTGCAGGAGATTAGTTGATAGGTATTGTGTGAGCACTAGGGATTCAGTAATAGTATTTCAAACTTTAAAGAAAAATATTTACTGAACACACAATTGTAAGATCAGTACTTGTGCTTAAAGAGCAGTTTCATTAGCCATGAGATCAGTCAGTCAGATGTCCTGCTCTGATTCCTTGAATGACAAAGGCTGAGCTAAGGAAATACCGGCATGAGGTAGGAGTGGAAGGAAGCTGCACACCTGGCAATGATAACATAATAGAATAGTTCAACATAGTCCTAGGAGTTTAAATATAGATGAGGAAAGAAGTGTAGGCCATGGGATGGGGCTGTAGAGGTAGGAAGTTACTAGATGATGAATGAACTCATAAATCGCCTTAAATTTATGAGATTTTTGCCCTAAAGACAAACCCTAAAAAACCCTAAAGACGTGATAAGGATGTGAAGGGGTGGTAACACCAAGATTCAGTATTGGCTGATGTGTGGAGATGGAGTGGGTTGCATGGCAGGCTGACTGAAGTAGCAATATGGAAAAATGTGCTGACAACCGAGATTTGGAAGGTATCTGATGGACTATGGGTCATTTCTGATGAGGGGAACACTCTAGCATATAAAACAGCTCGAGGAGCCACATAATCATAAAGTCATGAGGAGTTGTACAGTTGTTACACCTATAGTATGCATATTTGGTGAGATAGAAACATAGATATTAAGGGTATGTTTTTGAATAATATTTTATGTTAATTTTCAAATTATACATTTTAACAAGTATTACATAATCATATATGAGATAAAGTGTATACTTAACTAGTAGTCATACTGTCAAATGATAAACAATACTACATTTTTACTGTATTTTTCCAAGTATAGGTAACTGCAAATACCTAAAAAAGGAATACAAGTTGTACGTGCGGCTCAAAAATACAGATAGATTTGGAATTTAATTTTTGTAGACCTTCTAAATATTATTAGTTTACCCAAAATATATTTCCATATTATGAAAGGTTACAATGTTGTAATAATTACATATTAGAGAAATACACACCAGTATTTTTATTAAGCTCTATTTGATTTTGATATTTGCATTTTAAATTAAACACTAATGTGTGAATTATTTTCAGTCACTGTTCAAATGATAAATTGATGTGTCTAGAAAATCCTTTGAAGCTAGGTGTGTGATCAAGGTAATGTGGTTTATTGTAGTAAGTACAGACTAGTATAAGAAAATACATATACATTTTTCTGAGCAAAAGAAAAAAAAGATATGTTTGGTATATTCCCTAGAAACATATACCATTCTTTCTTATATACATAGTAATGCCGCTCAAGGATTTTTCACCTTTGGAGTGATTCGTGTGAGTTATTCCAAAGATGTCATAGCTCAATGTTCCTTGTTAGTTAATTTCATGTAGCACAAAACCCGTCTTGACACGTGCGCGGCCGAGCACTGAGATGTCACCACCTGTTCTTCCTAAGTGCTTTGTAGGTCAAGAAAACACTCTTACTTGCAAGCACAATGCAAGGTTACCTTAAATAGTACTTCTAGCAGGCAGCTTAGTGTAAAGCTATGAATAAGGACCATTGTTTGTGGCTTGTACTGTATCTTAAGGCGTCATGCCCCTTTTGTATAACAACTTAATAAAAACAGGTATTTAAGTGTACAGAACATACATGCAGCTTTTTGCAACTGCTTACATCTTCACATGTAAGTTTTAAGTGAAACTGAAGGACACTTTTGTCAAAGCCTTTTCCTGTAAAACATTCGGATGACGAAAGATGCATTCTCTTGTGATGTCCAAGTGATTGATAAACCAATTTGTTGGAAGACACAAGAACTGTTTGGATTTTATGGTTATATTAAATGATATGAATAAGAATTTCTGTTTTCTGAATAGGAGATAAAGGATGCTAGGCCAAAGATGGTATTGAGATGGATGTTCATGAGGTTCTAATATGGAATAAGAGGTTGAATGTATTTTGAGAACTTAAACCTGTTTCACCTGAACATGTTTAACTAGTTAATAAGAAACATCAAAAAGACAAAACCCAGAGGTCACTGGTCATTTTTTTGTAAAGCTATTATATGCTGTTTAAATTGGTTGTTTGGGTCTGTCGATAACATAAGTTTAATAACCTAGCTCAAATGCAGATTTCTAATTTTCAATTAACATAGGAATAATTTTGTTTGCTAAAATAAAATAAATGAATGAATGACAAGTCTGAAACATGAAATGTTCTAGGTAGAGCTTTTTAAAATTCCAAATTTCAAAAAATCATGTGGCAACTGTATAGCTCAAGCTTTAAGTATTAACTTTTAACCTTTGACCTTACAGATTTTAACCAATGAAATGTCTCTTTAAACTTTAAAGGAAACAATGATAACGAGCGCCTGGCGATTGCTAGACAGCGAATTCCATATCGACTTGGTCGAGTAGTTGATGAATGGCTACTCGACAAAGGTAAAAAACATTGATTAAAACTTCAAATAAAAAAATAATTTGAACATAACCAAGTAGTACTTCATTGTAACACTAATAAACATAAAAAATAAATTTTCCGTAAAACTAAATTAAAAACAGATTTAAAACAGTAAAATATAGATAGTGATATTTGCATACCTTGTATAATAATTTCTATACATTTTTAGATGTACCAGCTGTTTAATAATCTTACCCAGTTAACTTAAGGTTAAAGGGACTGTTAAATATAATCCACTAACTCAATCGATGAAGGTACTCACAGCAAGCATTAACCCAAAATGATAAATCATTCATAGATTATATTACATGTTCCAGCCTCTAAATTATTAACTAAAATATATATAGTTCTGATATCTTTATTATGGTCCTGAAAAAAAAAAAAACCTCTTTGTTTAAACTCTAGGAATCTTAAATAGTGGGCAATATGGATTGCCAAGCAAAATGAAGTCCCTTTAACGTTTGCAACCTTCTAAGCATTTGGGAACACGCCCTGATTAAAACTGAACTTAAAGTTGTGTGCATGCTCTTTATGAACAGAAAGCAATCTGCTCAAACTGGATACTCAATTTGATGATAATGGTACTGTTGCTAAGGATTGCTGTTTGATGGAAATGTGCCATGATTTCTCCATCGATTTGTGTATCATTCCTGAAGCTGCTTTTTACATCTGAAGCTATGTTTTTTTTTTTTCATTTTGTTTTGTTTTGATAGACTTGCTGAAAGCCAATCAGAAAAATAATTTTTTGTAACTTTTTTTGTCTCTGACATGCTCAGTGTAAACCACACGTTTCTTTTAGTGTGATTGTGGGAAAAATAGACTAATTCAGATAACAGTGGACACTGCCTCTAAAAAAATAAACATTTCTAAATAATAGCATATACATACATGTGGATACTACGTGAATTGTGAAATCTGTCATAAAATTTTAAATTAGATTTCAGCTGCTGTAGATCAGTTTTTGACAGTGATAACTTCCAAATGACAAATACTTGAGATGTTAGTTGTCTTACACTTATTTGTTCTAACAACTTAGACTTAACAGACCAACACTATCAGATCCTGAGGGGAAAGGGATCCACTAAAAATTGATTTGTACAATTCCCTATCTTTGATTGGTTTTTTAGCAAAAGCACTACATTTATACTAAGTTGAGAATTTACAAGTATTGCTGAGAATGATGCATTTCATGGACACCTCATTTATAAGCAATGAATTATGAGTCAAATGCCTTTCTTATAGTTTATTGCTCTCATTATCCACCCCATGAAAGATCTGTTTTATCATCCTTTGTAGAATGTAGAATTCACAACCAACATTTTTGCATGTATGTAATATTATTTTTACAGGGCGTCAGCTCACAATCTTCAATAGCCAAGCAACCATAATAATTGGCGGGAAAGAGCAGGGCCAGCCCTTCCAGGGCCAGCTCTCTGGGCTTTACTACAATGGCTTGAAAGTTCTGAATATGGCAGCCGAAAACGATGCCAACATCGCCATAGTGGGGAATGTGAGACTGGTTGGTGAAGTGCCTTCCTCTATGACAACTGAGTCTACAGCCACTGCCATGCAGTCAGAGATGTCCACATCAATTATGGAGACCACCACGACCCTGGCTACCAGCACAGCCAGAAGAGGAAAGCCCCCTACGAAAGAGCCGATTAGCCAGGTGAGCATGAGGATTTTACTTCCTTATTTTCAATCTCTGCTTGTGGAAATGCGATTTTCAGCATGTGTGTCTTTTCTGATCCGTGTTAATATATGTTTGAAATCAAATGCGTGATGCTGTTCGTTAGAGGCTTTGTGGACTCAGAAGTGATTTGGTGTTGGTTTATTAGCTGTTGGTTGATAGTCTTAATAACCTTGATCTAGCCCATGTTGATGGGGACTGTCTGCTAATTTTACAGGCTTTATGCTTTGCTGGTTAAGTCATCAGGTAAATTAATGAAATAGTTCAAAGTTCTTGTTTGTTTTAAGCTCAGATTATTTTCAAAATAAGCTAAAAGTAAAATTGATATTGAAAGAGTCATTGTCCACAATGCTTCTGTTGTGAATTGAAAGGCTGACATTTTGAACTAGTAGTCATGTGGTGCTCATGGTGAATGTCAAATACATTCTGAGGATTTATAAGAAAAGCAACTTGCTAGATTATCTGAGAACAAATGCTTAGAATGTGCAACTTAAATACTGTTTTGGTCTAAGATAACTTTGATATGTGAATGGCTGCTCAGAATTCAGTTCAATAAGCTTGTTGTTGAAGCTTCTGTTTTAAATTTAATTTTTTTAAATAGAATTTTTAACTATGGTGTTTATGTAAATTGGTGTTGCATTAATTCAACCAGGATAGATTTATTGATTATCTACCATGCTTAAGACACTGGTTTCAGTTTTGGTGTTATTTGAAAGCAAGAAAATACTGTGTAGTGCTGTAGTGATGTTAGATGCTGTGAAAGTGCTACTTAGTTCTGTTCGGTCCTAGCTGAAATATATCATCTGTTTACATATTCAGTTTGTTGATGCATTCAGATTGTACGTTCCTGGCTAAAGGTTTTGTGTTTTACATTGTTGATTTGTTTTTAACAGTGAGTAGGTGAATGTCTTTAGTGGGTGCTAAGTAAAGTTTTTCCAATATATAGTATCCTTACTTTTTCTAGAAAACTATATTCTACAAAAACAAGAATGATGATGATTATTTTAAAATTGCTTTTACTTCAATGGCTTGAAATAGACCAAGGATAACATTTGAAAGGAAATGAATAGAAGGCAGTATTGGTATAAGTCACTTATCTACTAATCAACCTGAAGAAAAATAGTGGATTCTAATTTTCTTAAAATAGAAGACAAAAATAGATCAGAATAGAGGATGGAAAAATGTAAAGAAAGGAGTGATGACTAGAAGAACCATAAATCCTTGAATTTGTAAATCTGATACAGTGTATATTGCATATTTTCAATACGCCATGCTATACACATACTTTTTTTCTCTTTTTATTTTTTTCCTATGCATATATGGTCACACGTTAAAATGGGCTGCAACATGGGGTGTTCACCAATGTATGCTGATTGCTCGCTGCCTGTTTATCAGACACGGTTCTGGGGATGGTACTATATTGGTAATAGCAAACAAAAGCTCTTTCCCACTTGCAATGTGTTTTAATGGAAATGCTTGCATGAATGGCCATCTTATCGATGCAGGTGAACTGATCAGTTAGTAGCTGGCTCCTTTGAGGAGGTATTATCTGAAAGATTCCTAAGCTCCTTTAGAGCACAGTATTTTGAATCTTTAGATTTTTAACAGCCCAATAACAAGCAAGTACTTTGGAATAATATGTTACACATATTTTATTGGCATGGAGATTTAGTTGTGGCAAGAATGTTTTAAAGTGGAGCAACAATCCTTAATATTCTATTTTATGAAAGATATAGGTGTATAATTACAAGTAATAATGTCTATTATACGTGGACTGCAATAGAGAAGTAATTTATTTATTTTTTAGTATAACAGTACTTTATTGTTAATCTTTCCTAATGCATAACTTATTTTTAAGATAGTCACAAATACAAAGAGATTACTAACATATATATATATATATTTAGTATACATATATATATGTTGTTACATATATACACATACATGTTAGATTACTAACACATACATGCTAATATATACATATAGCATATTTGTAACAATTGCTTCAAGTCTAGGAAGTTTAAATAGAAAAGTGATTGATGATGCTGATTTCAGAATTATAACCTTTAGATGAGTTTATGCAAATTGGAAGAAGCATCTTTTAAGTCCTGTCCTTGATTCTTCCTGCCTGCTCTGATCAGCTGTCTTACTAAATAGTGTACCAGAGGGGTCATGTCATTTTTTCCAAAGCTGTGCTCTACTGTTTTCCCAATCAAAGTTTATTTTCCTCAGTAATAGCACTGAGCCACTTAAGGTACAGTGGCAATGTACCTTGTGGTGATTGCGTGTTTTAGAACTATAGAGACAGATTTTTGGACAAACAGAATTAGATTGGATTCATTTCAAATAGAGGAGATGATGTTTGTTCAGCCATCCTGCAGGGAGAATAGTAGGAGAGAAATATATATATATATATATATATTTGTTTGTTTTTCGTAATATTCACGGATGACAGTATCCATAAAATACTGCTTACATTCTTAGAAAAATAAATATTCTATTGAAAGATAAAACGGAAGTATTTTTTTCTCTGAATGGTCGGTTTTCAGAATTATAATTGCTTTAGAATAACAGCATTTAAATTTTGAAATAACAAACATTTATAAACAGTTCTGATTGAATGGCTCCTTTGTATTGCGAGTGGAAAAGTATTGCTGATGCTTTTATACAGATTATGTAATGTAGATAAAAATGTGTTCTATAGAACACTGTTTTTCCAAATGTTTTCTTAAGACTTACTCAAATTTTGAGAAACTTCATAAAAGTTCATCTCAGAAAGCAATTTTTTGTGAAGAAAAAAAAATAATAATAATTGATGGCCTCCAGTTCTTTGGCAGATGGAGAGTTCTAAGCGAATCAGGGAAGATCACCAGGCAAGAATTTTGGCTGCTCGTTGTTCTCCACTGGTGAATAACCTGGAAGTCACTGAGAGTGTGTTTGCATCTCTGTGTAAATGACCACGAGTAAGCCAGCCTGCAAAGTGTAGCATTCATCCCCTTTGTTACCAGTCTGTACAGAAAGGAAAGTGGAGCCGTGGCATATTTTAGGTCCCATGATTCAGAAATACTCTTTGATTTCTCTGTGCTTTCGTTGTAGGCTATTTAAAAAGCCAGTTGCATAATGAACAAGACACACAGTCTCAGTAATGTACTTTTCACTTAACAAGAGTGTGTTGTGTAATAGAATGTGGGGAATCAGTGGAAAGTGATTCATTCACAATCACTTAGCTCAAACTGTAGCTTGAACAGTTGGGTTGACCTCATCTGTACCTTGGTCGCATCTTTAAAATAAGTGGATTGGATTAAGAAACTTCGAAGTTATACTCAGTTTGAAATCACTGAGTTTGAAATCATACTTATTTTACGATGCAAATGTATTAACTCTGATTTTTTTCATAGGACCTTGCATCCCAGGGACCCTGGATGGTCCTGCATGTATCTCATATTCATATTCATTATTCATAGTCTGACTTTGTGACTGTCAAAAACATCCCATTTTGGTCTGTAGTTTGTACTATAATATAACTTTGTACCATACATAAGAACTACTTTTGCAAGATAGTCACATTTCATGAAAACAACAAGAATTAAACCTTCTCTTTTGCATTCAGAGCAAAAACTGGATTCTGATAGCCTTACCTGGGTTATAGAATGCATAGCCCTTTTCATCTTGTTTAATCTCATTCTAAAACTCTTCAGAAAGGAGAGATGATAAGCTTTCAACAGATTCTGATTTTTGATTGAGGGACTTTAGAGTTTGAATTAGTAAGTATGGGTGAAATACATTGATGTATTGAAATTAATCCGTGGTTCCAATTAGATCTTTTTTTTTTTTTAAGGGTCAAGTTAGGAAACCTACTCAGTGCAGAAAGACATGAGAATTAAAATCATTAATTGTAGATTGTGAGAGGCATATTTAGTTTACATCTGAGACATTTGATTAAAGTCAGTGGTATTTTATTCCCAATGGAGTTTTCTGAGAAGAAATTCAACAATTGTCCAAGCAAGAAAAGAAGGTTAAATATAATGGAGACTGCTATTGCCTCCTGAGGGCTTTCACGGTACTCATGAAGAATGAATACTGTTTATTCAAGAAACAGAAGCAAAATATTTCCATGAAAAATATTTACAGCTAGCAAAATATAATTTATAACTTCAAGGAGCAAATTTTGTTTTATTAGAAATATTAATTAACCTTTGCTGTGACTTCATTATTAGAAAATAACCACATTACTCATAATTATGCGTGTTCTTGATAGCTATTCTGCATTTTTATAATCTTGATGACATGAATAATTAATTTTATTTTCCCTAGTCCAGTCATCCTGCTGAATTCTTTTAAAATTTAGGTGCTTTTTCCTAATGGCAAATTTTAGTGGATATATAGGGTATTAAAACAAGTGTAGATTTAAAATGTGTGCAAAGGCATGTCCTCGCAAAGCCAATGATGCCTGTTGAGGAGTATAATTTGTGTGCAAGCCACTGATACTTAGAAGGCATTTTCCCCCACAATTCCTGGCAAACAAACTGGTTTTATTAAGAAATAATCTTCACATTGAACTTTCTTTGGGGGTTGTGGAGGTTTTCTTGCCTGAAGATGTGCTCTGTTGGTAGAGGCAACCCTGGTTTTGAGATTTCTGACAAAGCTTGCCCTATGCAATTATATTCTTCTACTGTTAATTTATCATTCACATATTGCACATAGACTGGATACTGACTGCCTCCTACACAGTCTTCTAGTTACTGGAAGTTCAACACTGAGTAAAATTGGGTCTATCTGGATAAAAATTTATCTTTTGCTACAGGAAAATAATCAAGAACGTAGAGAACAAGTAAGGACCATGGAATGTTGAGATCTGCATTAAAAAAAAAAACAGAGAAAGGAGAGGAAATAGAACATCCATTGCTTTGGGGACCATAAATTATGATTTTCTTTTGAATAGATATTAGAATATTTTCATGCAGGCATATTCTTTGGTT